TAATTAAACACATATCTACTTACTATCTTTTTAAATTCTTTATTTGATTTACATAATTTAAGCATGAGTAGGTATGTGTATAAAACACAACATAAATTTATTTTTTAAGTTGTAATGATTGATGTTGTCACCTCATTTAAATTAATTATAAAATATACAAATTACAAAATATTAACACTAGCACAATTTTTAGTTTTCAATAAATATCATTGGTGATGTACAATTAGTCCAAATAGATTTTTTTCCACTTCCTTGCAATTAACTTGATTACCTAAAAATGTTTTTGTCAATATAATTGTTAAATAATATATAACAGTTAAAAAAAGGAAACTTAATTTATTTTGTAGTTATATTTAAATCCAATATGTGAAGCAATATTTTTATTTTTCACTGATACCAAAATATTGGTATTTTTTAATGTAATTGGAAATAGTAGTATGAATATAATTTTAACATATAATCTAATCTTCCAAATTGTATGTGATAGTAGATTTCAGTATGACAAATTTAAAATCCTATTTGGAATCATAATATATTGTGTGTAAATTGTACACAATATATTATATTGTGAATTCGCTTTTTTTATGAATTAAAAAGTGGAGATCAAATCATCCATCCATCCATCATGTTTGTAGTAAATATAGATAATCTTAGACTATCTATGTACCAAATTGAAATACCAAAACAGACAAAACTCTTTAATAACTAGCAGAAACTTAGAACTATGTCACTTGATTGTACAACAAAGCATTTATTATCCAGTAGATACCAGGGAACCATATACTATACATTTAAACAATGTAAATGTATAAATGATTAAACTGAAATCAAAATGTTTAAACTTATTGATATATTGTATCATTTTTTTAATTGTAGAAACTACCAACTAGTAAAATATACCAACAAATTTTACTTAATATGTACCTACTCGCCAATTGACATGTGATTAACTAATTTAGGTTAAATATATATACAAGAAAATTATACTTGAATTTAATTATATCATAAGTGCATCATTAAAATTTAAACACTAAAAAATGTGAAATATTAAAAAGTACAACTTTATTTATATTAACGACCCACAAGCACGATTCAGTTATTTCTTATAATCTTATAAGTTTATAACCTAACAGTTTATCTACTCAATATATTGTCATGTACTTCACGATAACCTGCCAGGTTAAACCTGAAATGAGGTATACTTACATATCATGTAACCTGGAAAAATGATATCTGTAATCGTTCACAGAACATTACAAGTTACAGCTGGTCGAAATGAGTTTACTTTACCCAAAGAGTAATCTATGATTTTTACCTCGTCGTGAACCAGTCTAATCAGGCATCACCGTATTGTTCCGTGCCCGCAGGTATTTTGTAGTGAGGACAAGAGGATTACTCGTATGTAGGTATGCGTTATGTGACAAGTGATGGTCCAATGGTCCAATTACTTATAATATGATATTACGACAATAAGTTATTGTAGCGAGTTGGCAGACTTGGGTAGTATTTCGAATACTTTTTAAATACTTTTTTTGAAAGTATTTTGAATACTTATAACGAGTATTCTGAATACTGTATTTCGAATACCATTAAATCATCTCTTTTTTTAAATGATTTTATTACTTCTCCGTCGTATCTTGTATAAGCTAATATCAGGTATTTATTATTGTTGTAAACCATAAACTATAATAGTTATATCATATAAAAATACAATAAAATAACATATATTTAGCCTACAGTTTCAAATATTTCTGTTGAGTGGACATCTATTATTTTTATAGTATGAAAACTAGAAGTATTTTAAAAGTATTCGGAATACTTTTGAAGTATTCTAAATAATGTATTCGAAATACAATTTGTATAAAATATTTGATATACATATTTGGAATATTTTTTTTGTAAGTATTCGAGTATTTATTCTAAATACTTTTAAAAAGTATTTTACCCAAGTCTGCGAATTGGTACAACGATTATCACCGATATATCTTGAAGTGGAACAATATCGAATTTATTACTTAAAGCTTCTGGTATTTACCGACTAGATATCACACATTAACACATAAAAATCTCCAAAACCACACAACTTTGAGGAGCTCTATCTTGTCAACGAATTAATGAAAAATGAAAATTTAAATGTAATAATTCATAAGAAAAAAAACCTTACTAAATTATGAAATTTATAGTATGGGTTGCCATTTGAAAAACAAAAGTTAATAGTGGCTTACCTAATAAATATAAGGGTGAAAAATATTATACAAATTAATAATTCAAGAACAGCATAGATCTAAGATGTTGAAAAAAAAAAATTGAAAAAAGTGAATAGTTTTTGAGATAATGAGTGTTTTACGCTTGGTGAATCACCCTGTATCTAAGGTACTATTTAATGGGTTTATATATTTGTGAATGTTACTGTTTTAAGTCCCAGACGTTATCTACTTGGAAATCACTTTATAGTTATTAAATATTGATTATAGTATTAACATACAGCTGTTAACATAAACAGGAATCCATTTGAATATATAAATGCAATTTGAGATGATTGCGATCGTATTGTCAGGTTGTTGCATTTTCATTATTGCAGTACTGAGTGATCCATCGGTTTAGAAAGACACTAAACTGATGACCAACTACCGAGCTATACATATTTTGGATAACCTATAGAGTGATGTGTGTTTTGTGTGTCTTTGCACACGAATTCGATCAAAAGGAGTTTTCAATCACACCATTAAATAAAAGAAAAAGATAGAAAATGGGTTCAATATGATAATTTAATGGGTCATTTATTTAATTTCACAAAAGTCTTCTGAATAAATGAGAAAAACAGAAAAAAAAAAGCTAACATATCTGTTTTAATACAAGATTCCAACCCTCATCAATGATCATATATTATTTTGTCGCGTTTTAATTTTTTTTTGAATGTGTATACAATTTTGATTTGAAAAATTACTCTAATTATCGCATTATTTTTTTCAAGCTATTTTTCTAAAATTTCAATTTTCATATTTTCTTAGATTTTTTTCGAAAATGTCGATTGTATAATTTTGGTTTGACAAAAAGTCTTGAAAATTGAATACAAAGTTTCTAATTCATATATACTCGTATTATGAAAAAATATATTATAGAAAAAATTGGGCTCAATTAAAAAAAAAAAAATATTACGATCGTTTAAATCAAGGTGTTTCAATCTTTTGTAGTTGACGGGCCAATTTATATTTTCATGAAAATGCTAAGGGCCGTAAAAAAAAAAATGATATTATTTTCTAGTAGTCATTTATTTCAGTCAATAATCGCTGTATAATATTGACTAAAATAATAATATTTTCCACGATTTCCCACTACGAGAAATCGGATTCACTGTGGCTGATATAAAAACACGATACGTATCTACATATGTACGTAGTGAGCAACATTCAATCAAGGTTTTAAACGTTACTCATTTTTAAAACAATGTTCAGTGTTAATATAGCCATAGCCAGCAAAAGATTTTGGAGGTGGATTTAGAGTATAAATGTTTTTTGACTGGAAAATTTTAAAATTTCAAATGCAATAAGCAGTTAAAATCGTACGATTCTATTTTATGAAAATAATTGGGGTCTGAACCTCAAACTCCCCCTTCTTCATAGCTATGGCCTTGCCGTTTTCATGGAAAACATATACCTACCCCCATACTAATATTTTGTAGAAAAATAGTGATTTTTTTCATAACTCCTTAAAACTGACTTGATACTTCATTTGAGGAGTCATATCGTTTTTATTTGCGTCAATCCATAGGCGTGAACAAAAAATTAGAAAAACTATCGATCCCTGTTGTTCAACCACTATGTTTAGTTCTAAAAATGACAAATCTTGCAACATGTGTTACTCTTTATTACAGGTTTGCTTCAGAGAAACATTATGATTGAAAACTGAACTATCTTGTAATAAAGGATACGGACTAGTGAGTTTCGGCAGTACTTCATATTGCGCACATGGGATTAATTCTTTTGCAAACATAAATTTGCTTCTCTAAATAATTGAAGACGTTTCGTGTCTTAAAATCTCCTAAAATAAACGTTTTAATATAAATGGTTATAAGTTTTAAGCGTTAATTTATGCTGAATGCAATGATAGTACATTGAAATATATTAATTTTTACTCGGACACAAAATAAAAGAAATCAATTCAGAAAAAATACTGTCAGTGTATAGCTGATGATCAGCTCATTTAATGTAGGTTTTCAAGTAAGTTGACTTGGTTTTTTTTCAATAGTAGTGGTGTAGAAATAGAAGTAGTGTGTGTAGAATACGGTTCTTTTTTTGATAACCAGGCATAGGTCTACATTCACGATATTTTTTTTTTTTTTTTGTTGATTTTCAAACAGTTTCCATTGATTTTACAACAGTCTTAAATTTTTCAACAAAAGAACAACAATATAAAACATTGATTTAGATCATTTAATTATACTAATATTTCTAATAATTACTTATTATTATCAAAATAACAACCAACAACGCTGGTGGATCTGGACGTCAATACAATACAGTATATAGTTAATCTTAGATAATAAATAATAATATTCCTATTTATATTATACAATTACAGTAGGTACATAGAGAACATAGGGTGCAAATTTCAATGATGTATTATTATAATTATTAATCTATGTAAAATGGGTGGGTGCAAATGATTTGGACAAATATTAATTAAATACTGTAATTATTGAGCACATTTATATATTTTCAGAAGGAATACAAATCCAAAAAAATGTGTGCAAATTTCACACAACGAATTATAAGTCTTAAAAAAAGATTGTTTGTCATTTAACAAATATGTTTTCAAATGTATATAGTTTCCATCAAGTATGGTTTAAAGTTATTTTAGGAATAATTGGAGGATTAATTGTTGTATAGTTATTTTATATACAAAGCACTTATTATAATCAATGGTTTTTTTTCTAAAAAACATTTTATAACTGATAAGATCTTTAAATGTATATACAATTTACGCTGTATTACAGTGGCATATTTTCAGTTTTTTTTTTTTTTTTTGAGGAGGCTATTAAAACCTAAATTGATGAACGTCAGTATTGCCTAAAAAATCGAATGTTCAATTAAATAAATTTTAGTCGTAAAATAAAAAAAGTTCTTACAGATCCATTTTCTACGAAAAATGCACGTTTTAATGAAACATAAAAATTTAATTTATATAGTCGGTCGAACCGTATTTTTTAAACTTAAACATTTCAATTGTTAATACGCCATTGTATTTACATGTATATGTATGATTTAGGTATATGTCATAATATTTATCATTATAAAATTTATAATATTTAATATCATATAATATTAATGCATTGGAAAAAGTATAACAATGTATACGTACATAAATCTAAAATAATCGCGTGCAAAACAAAAAAAGGATAAAAAATTGAACAATTATATATATATAATATTAATAAGTATAAGTAATGATTGTATCGCATTAAAAAGAAATCCGTATAAAATATTAATGCTACGAATTCTTATGTAGGTGTACTTTCGACATTTTGACACTTATGCAATTGTTAATTATATTATTTATTTTTAATAATTGAATGTTACTATAAAACCATAATAAAAATTATAGCCAAAGGAACAGAAGTATCTAGTGTATGTATTATATGTGTGAGAAAGTGTGTGTGTGTGTGTGTGTGTGTGTGTGTGTGTGTGTGTGTAGGTACCTAGACAACTTTAGTCTAAGAAACAAAATGATAATATTTGTCGTAGAAAAAATAAATTATATTACCATAAATGAAAAAGTATGAAAACATTTTACAACATTTTTTTATTTTTAACTTTATAATGTACAGATTTTGTGTATTCATTTTTGATCGAGGCCTCATATGAATGTTTAATTTGATCAATTTGTCAGTTAGAAAGTTAATGGTTTATATGTATTAGATAGTAATATCTATCAGTTGTATTCCAGTAATTTACATGCTATTTTCCCATTATTTAAGATTTTAGGTATTAACCATTTAAAAAAACTTTATTATTAGTGTATCAATTTTATAACCAACATTTAATTTTACTTCAAATGGCAGTATAAAACAGTATTACCTATTTTTGCTTTTATTTTATTTTATTCGTCCATGAATATTAACAACGTAAAAAAATGTTATAAAATATTTATGTATCTAATGTGTGTGTGTGTTTGGTGGATTTTCTTTATGGATGTATTTCAATGATTTTATTATTACACCTTCAAATGCTTATGTGCGAGGTAAGCATAAGTGTTATGGAAAAAGTAAAATATTTTTTGATATCTATTTAAGTAAATGTAACTCGTTTATACATTGTCATCAATATTAATTATCCCTAAATAACACAATAACTATATAATATAATATGGTCTTCGTATAAAATTAAAATTATTGTCTAACAATGGAATCAAATATATAGTTAACAAAGTATACAAACAATTGATTAAAAATTAATATCGCAATACGATTTCAAGCACGAATACAAAATTTTATTATGTACCACGTATTCTAATATAACTAGTTTATCTAATAAATAATATAAAATTTATGGACAAATAACTATAATAATATAAATTATACGTAGTTTTAACTTTAAGCTATTTGGCCGTTCAAAACGAATCGTTTGAATAATTTATTGACCGTAACGATAATCTATCACATGATGTTCATATTTATTCCTAAACGAAATCTATGTGTGTAATACGTAGACGCACATCGATACGATTGAGTTAACAATATTTATCAACACACCTATGTGTGTAATATGAATAAAAATTAATTCTTGTATGTAAAATTGTTTTCGACCGGCGGCGGTAAGTATGGTTTAAGTGAAAAAAATAAACAAAAAGATTTACAGATACCTGGCAAATAGTGGAGTATTTTGCCTACTCGTAGACGTATACGTCGAAAACACAAGTAATTGTTTTAAGAACGTAATAAAACAAAAGTTTACGCATGAGAGAACTGTATCGGCATGGGAAAGGCCAACGAATGGCATAAGTCGAAAGACTGGGCCGGTCAATATACAATAGAATAATTACCTATAAAATTGATTGTATTAAGTTCGTCGAGCAACGCGATCGTCTAAAATGTATCTACATCGTTAAAATATTATAAGTAATGTATAGTGTATAAAATTATATGGCCGTCGCGATGGCCACAGTATTATACGTATGTAATAAGTGTATGTTAAGTACCTAGCTTTCGTTTACGGTTTATAATAGTCGTAAAGAGGAAGCAGTGTTTCCGATGAGTTTGATTAGGAAACACAAGGCCGAGTACCAAAACCGCCGCATCGATTTGTTACCTAATAGTATGTACCTAACTGCCAGCGCGACACAGATCATTTGGCTGGATCGGTGCAAGTAATACATTCTGAAATAATAAAATAAAACAAAACCATGTGTTAAAAATGTAATTAGTTAGGCGTCGAATTTTTATCCACCAACGATATATTGTACGATTATTCCTTTCATCTAGAACTATAATAATAATAATGATAATTGTATTTACGGATTTCTAATCATGCAAAAATCAATTGACAGTATAGTTCATGTAAAAACTAGAATCAATTAATATTAAATGTAACAAGGTGAAAATTTTTCATTTTATATAATAATAAATAATCGCACAAAATAAAGTATAAGTGGTAAATAATATTAACAATATAAAGTTTTTGGTAAATCGAATAGCGTTGAATAAATCTAATCTTTGAATTTCATTAATTGCGGACGTTTACTTCAGATCATTAAATGCCGGGATGTATAATATATAATATATGTAATCAAAATGTATCAAAATAGATATATGTAACATATACCTATTTTAAATTAATGGATGAAGGATAAAATTCTGTTGTACTAATAAGCGCTCAAGAAGTTCAGGGCAATCAATAATATTATATAATAATTGAAGCAAAAAAAAAAAAAATAAATAAAATTATGTGCTAATAGTTGCTTAACATAATTGATTGTAAAAATAATTTTCCCACAGGTATAGTATAATTCATGATTAACGTCTTTTAAAAACATGTCTAATCTGTTTGGGCTAATTGATAATAATTATGCACGTTATGTAAAAAATATTATTTTACTCGAGAATTTGAATAAAATCTTACATAAATATTTGACAAAGAAAAATCTTAATTTTACATCAGGTAAGTAATTCTACACATTGATTATTCGTTTAAATATTTTGCGAAACAATAAATAATAATAAAAATGTACTCTCGTTCATTCGATTGGAGTTCTAAAAAATATGTTATATTTTATTCGTACGCGAATGCAATGGTTTATGGTATGTATTAAGAAATGTAAAAACTATGCTATTAAGGGCAAGATGAAGAAAAAACTGAAGCAAATATTATGATCGTCATTACTTTTTCAATCGTTTTTTGGCACTGGGCACAGTGCTCGGGTCGTCTTTGAGCACGAATTGCCTGGTGCCCCAGATGTACGACTCGATGTAGCTACGCCACTCCAATTGCGACACGTCGAAGTAAAACGTCTTCTGGTCGTTAGGGTCGAGCTCGGTGAACAGTTTTTGCACGTTCGTGTTCTTGAAGTTCCATTCGTGCGTGGTGAAGAACTCCAGACACGACACCGCTTTCTGCAGACGTTTGTGGATCCGAACTAATCTAAAATTCATGTAAGCAAACGTGTTTATTATAAAGGTCCGTCGATCGCGAACCACGTGCGTCAAAAAATAACGCGCGCGCCCGGCGGCGCCGATGTCGCGGAAACTAATTTACGCAAAGGCGCGTACTGGCCCACTGGGATACCGGGAACATCCAAGAAGGCCCACTTAACAATAATAAGACCTGGGCCCCCCTATCAAGTAGGTACCTGTGGTTCCAGTTGAATTCAGTGATTTTATTATTTATAGTAATTTAAACTTGAATTGATTTTAACTTTTAATAAGAACATACTATTCATATTTTATAATTTATACAAGGTTTCACAATTTATTCAAGATCGTTTAAATAAAAATAATTATTTTAATATTGTTGTGAATTTATTTATTTTTATAGAACTTAAATCAAAATGTAGATTTGGTTTATTATTTAGATTCATGGTTAATTTGTAGTTTTGTCTTTGTGTAAGAAATGAATGAATGATTAATATCAAACGTAGTTATTCTACCTTATGCATCTCTAAAATAATTAATTGATCAGAATACGATTAAAATATAATAGAAAAAAAATAATTTCAAATTTTTTTGGTATGTAAAGTGAATCTGTAATAACTTGTAATTTTTCAAAAGTTCTAAAAGGTATTGGTACTTTCAGCTCAAAAGTTTGAAATTGCATGATAACAATAGTTTGTAAAAATAATGGGTCTAGTTCGTTTCGTCACTGTTCATTTCACCAACGGACCATTCGCCGTCATAAAAGCTATAAAATTGTGATTTAAGCCACTGTGTAAATTACGCTTATAATGTGTTCGAAGAAAACCACGATATGCGTCAAAATTCCGAAGAAAAATTGAATAGTATATTTGTAAAAACTTTGGAAATAGCAAGTACAACTGATGTCCGTTTAGTGGTTCCTCGGCACGTTGGACGTCAGCAAAACTGTGGTAGCTATAAAGGAATTCCTGAAACGCACTACCATCTTTACCTATTCCATTTTATATTCCATTTTTATCACTTATTAGATCAACTTAAATCCAGGTTTCTTAATAATCTTTAATTACTTAAAAAATTAAAAAATATTTTACCAACAAAGTGCAGTGAATTGACTACAGAAGAAATAGTCGTAACAGTCAAACTATTTAAAAAGAGTGGCCAAATGACATAAAGGGATCTGATAAAAATTTAGAAGCGGATATCACAATGTGGATCAGGTAACTTTGTTTCTTATTATCTTAGATATTCTTTGTCCTTCATATGAAAACTTATTTATATTATTGTTTCAGATAATGTTCAAATACATATCAGTATAGACATATCAGTCTAGCCTATACATCGATTTTTTCGAATAGAAACATACTTCTCGTTTCAGTTGCTTCGAGTGAAAGATCGTTCTCTTGTCTTCGTAGATTAAGAACCTATTAAGGAAACAAAACGGCGGAGAACTGATTGAATAGGTTAGCATTATTAAACATATACAGAGACGTGGAGGTATCTTGTGAAGATATCTTTGATATTATGGAAAAAATATCGAAACGGATGAATTTGATTTTATAATTGTTATAACTTATAAAAATACAATAAATAATTATTTCAAAATAACGGTAATTATTCTTTTTTTTTCAAAACCCTTCACGAAATTTTTTCCTTCGTCCACCCTTGATGAGACCCATTGCTATGAGTATGTATAGTAAGTGAGCCCTAATTATATTCAGTTTCCCGGTTAAATGGGAAAATGGACCCAGTACGCGCCTGTGCACGCAACTCACCCTCCTTACCCCAGGATGTATTTTTGATTTATTACACTCTACAGATACGTGAACGTACGATAATCTTTACATATTTGAGGTAAGATGGAGAGTTTTGACGTACTGTATAGGTTGAAAAAATAAATCGTTAATGTTGCCGCACATGTCGAATAAGGTTATCGCAGATATTACGAGGCGCGCGAAAAATGCTAAAATCGACTAACGGGGGTGGTCGGAACCAGAGAGATTAATTGATCAGAGAACAATTAAACGCCCCACTTGTACGTGAACAGAACCCGTCGACTGAAAGAGAAATAACCGTGGTCGGTTGACGTCACCCAAATCGGAAATTTTATAATTGATCTATTTGAATGCCGCAAATATTATAAAAGTTAATAAAAAAGTATTATAGGATCTGCCGAAAAAATCTAACGGTCTATATTCAACTGCATACCATAGTACCTATTCGCATACACGGTTTATATTGGATTATGCACGATGCACAAGTGTGTTGATGAACTCATAGATTTTATATAAGTCTAATATTGTGTTTTTTTTTTTTTTTACGTTTTATTAATTAAATCAAAGAAATATTAAAATTGCCAAAAATTAACGATTTAATATTTACAAATACAATCAAAATGTTGGTAGAAAGGGCGTCTCATTGGAATAAATTAATTTGAGAGTCGTGTATTAAAAAAGGTTGCGCATCGCTGCTCTGTTACACATATATAATTTAAAAATCCTGCATCACCCATACCTATACATTTTTCAGTTAAATTTTTTTCGTTGTAAATAATATTATTTTATCGGGAAACAGTGATTTGTCAGCGTTATTATTTACTTACGCAGTCTATGACCAAGTAATAAACTGAATTTATCATTTATTTTGCGTACACGACATTAATTAATATTTTTCAGTCAGGTTATTACAATCCATGTTCGGTTTATTAAAGTTTTCTAGAATTTTGCCACACGCTAAATAATTATAATATTATCTGAAATTATTTCACACTTGAAATTCAGTCATACTAATGAAAATTACATTACCGCACTGTGATAAACTCGAACAACTCGGTATGCAAACCGATGCTCGTGACTGTGCGAATTTGTGAGTATGAATTACGTAACAATATTTGAGTACCTACTTACATCCAACCAAGTGGATATTAATTATAAAATTAACTTAATAGCGTATTATAAAAAACGAGAGTAATGTATTCGAGAACAAATTTGGATAGTAAAAGTCTATAAAAGTACATAAAGTGCATTATTCCGCTATTGCAAAACCGAAGCCTAGAGTTGTTTTAATTTTTTATATGGTTTGTATTATTTTTTCCCTTCGACATTGTTGAGCTCTTCCACTCTATTTTAACGCCCATGGTGGTAATGTTTATAGGCGTAAACTATGGGAGGGAGAGGGGCAAGTGTCCCCCTCTAATAATTTAACGTGGCAATACCCACCTTGGTCTTTTGTAAATTAATTAGAAAAGACATTTTAGATTTGTAAGAATTATTTTATTAATAAATATACATAATTTTTTGAACTATTAACTATAAAAAAAAAATTAATGGATTAATCAAAATGTTATTGTTCAATGGCATTTGCTATCACAATACACCATGATGCAGATTAATTATATATAGTTTTAAAGTATAAGGTACCTATATCAACATAAAATAAAGTTTGTTTCACCCATAAAAATATACTAAGTTACGCCCATGGTAATGTTCCATAAATTTAAAAAAAATAATGCCTTTTACTTATTTACTATTCAATTATATAAAGCTATAAATTATGATCTACTGATTTTATGTAAATAAGCTGTATTTTATTTCATTAAGATAAGTTATTAATGTCCATATTCGTCCCGATTTTCGAATGATTCTACAACAACCAAATCGTTTTGCTAGATAATACGAGAACATCTTATATCACGCGTCTCTCTATTATTGTTTTCCCATTCTATGAACTACTCTGGTGATACGACGAAGACCGTTCCCCTCGAAATCTCAGTTCGCCTAAAGTCGTGACGTTATAATTAAAACGTTTGACCTCTGCCCGGGCGTTGATATCTCGTACTATTGTACGTGAAGCGTGGCTTTATACATATATCGAGAATATTACTCCCTCGCTTTTGCCACTAACAATTTGACGAAAACGCGTGTATTATCTTAAGCGTCTTCTGTGCGTGGAATAAAACAAGATCAACACTCGCTGTAAATGTACTTGACTTGAGAACAAGGCCTATTATTGATATTAAACATTTTTATGAAATTTTTAACGAAACGATAGAGGTGAGTTTTTCGTTGAATCCGAGCAAAGTACCGTACATTTTTACGTGGAAACTTAGACATCTTAAACATTGCATATATGACGATCTTTTATTAATAATCAAAAAGAGGAAAGGGTTAAACAACATTTTATAACGTGATTTTACTGTTACCGTGTTGTATAAATTATAAAAGTATAACGGAGAATACGCAATTTTAATTTCAGTTAAAAATATTTTATTAAAATAAATTCAAGATAATATCGCAAAAGAACCAAGGTTATCTATATTTGGAAACGGGAATCAGTAACTTATTTACTTTTTAAAGTATATTTTTATGCTATCCTAATTTCGAGTAAAAATTGTACTTTGGAAGCTTTTAATTCTTATAAATGGGTAATTTTTTATAAATGATACACTCAACAGGTAATTTTTGGAATTTTCAAAGAAATTACGAAAAATTGAAGAACAAAATTAGATTAGCTTTTTATACAGATAGATATAGACATTTAAAATTGTTATTACTCGTATTTTTTAGATATAATTTTATTTTTATTATATACATGTTAAACCTTCATATATTTTTACATGAAATAAATATAGAATTTTTTTTATTCTTTTGGTTTTATTTTTATCCAACTAATTTATTTATCTTGCATTGGAAATCTGTTATTTTATTATAGTTCTATTCTATTACGAAATATTTACCACGATTTTTTTTCTAACATCATATGATATTTATAATATTGTTTCGTATACACTTAGTTGTACGAATATTAAATAATTAAAATCAATTCACAATACTTATTTAAATTTTACAAGTTACAAGGTTCTGTAATGTTCTGCGTGTATCGGAGGACTGACTCGTCGACGATCGTGTCCAACAAGAAGCGTCTCTGCGTCCGGTCAAAGGAGTTTGTCAGCACATTCCTTTTAATCGACGATGGTTCGTAAGAAATACAATACATAATAACATAGTAATGTATATGTATACTAATACCACTATGTTTAAATTATTATAATCAGGGGTTCATAACAATATAGAAAGTATTTTTTCAGTACTAACACATGTTTATGTCATATTCTATTCGTCACTACTTTCAACCAATTTTTAATACATTTACTCATGAATAACTTATTCTTTTTTATAATAATCTTAAATATATCAACAACATTGGCGGTCAAACGGAGAGGATGAGGGGGATAGTCCCCCCTCATGACCTTTTTTTAAATATTTATAATTCATCCATATTATACATAATATAATATAGGTATTCATCTATTTTCTATTTAAAAAAATAAATATACTGTACTTATTAGTTATTATTCAGTTTCTAGGCTCGAATAAAATTAACAGTTCAAACATAAAACATTAAAATATTAATTGAAACAAACTTTTTAGATTTTTTTAATTTCCTTTATAGTTAAATTATCATTATCATTAATATAATATAATTTCCATGTTTAAAAAAAAAGATTTTTATATATAGTGTTTGTTAAAAAATCAGCTATATCCCCCCTCCCCATGACAAAATAATTTGACCGCCACTGATATTCAACATCAAATTATATGGATTATTTTTGTATTTAAATACCATACTTGTCACGTTTTATTGTAAAAGATTAATACATCAATTTTCTGCGTTGAGATAAGCCAGTAAGACAAGTGCTACTCTACTCACTGTCGTAGTATATTTTCCATTGTCTTACATTTTCCAATTAGTATTATTTTAAAACGAATTGTATGATAACTATAAAAATTATAAGTTAATGTTTAATAAATAGCAAAAGGAAATTTTATTATAATTAATCGACAGTTCAATGTAATAAATACTACTCCATCCCGAATTATATTAAATATTATAAATTAGTTGCTATAAAGGATTGCTTATTAAAACATAGAATTACTATTTTATTTTTTTTTTTAAAAATGTAGGATATTTATGATTTTGATTTTTCTCAATAAATTAAAAAGATTATCAATTTTTGAATTGAAACCTGTGACCTCAAAAATCTACTTAATTATTTATCTTAAAATGTTTAGGGAACAATCGTTGCTTATAGTCTTGTAAATGAGGTCTGCATATAATTTTATATCTATTATTAAAATACGTTAATATACATTATTTCTACCCTCCTCATCATACCAAAAAAAATGCAATTAAAAAATATTAAGCGACTAAGTTAAAAAGATTGCAAAAACACTGTACGGGGAAAAAAATAAAACAACTTATAAATATTAATGCCACCAGCTTATCACTATAATCTAAGCAAGTATACATAAATAAGGTTTTTATAATTCTTTCAGATCATACAGTAGGACGAATTAGCGTAGGTGAATTTAAAAATATAAGTCAAAAACCAATCGATACTTATCAAATATAAGCTGTTTGATAAAATAAAAATAAAACATTGCAAATACTGTAATCAATTACAAAAATAAACAATTCATACTCAAGTATAAGTATATTCTTGCACAAAAGCGAGTTAATCGCATATCAGAATAATGAAACATTATAACGGATTTTAGAGATAAACCTTGATAACATTTTTTAGAAGTGTACTGTACAATGCATTATATTAATTTATAAATATAAGACATAAACATTTTTTTTAAATTTTTTTGAATTGTAGTAGAAGTTTGAATTTACAGTCTTGTACTTAATCAAACATTTAAATAAATAAATAAATAATTAATCTTCATTCTCCTTACAAAATGTTTACACAGTTTTATACAATTGTTTATTATTAACTTATAACTAAAAAAAAAAAAAATTGTATAAAAGTCCGTTAAGGTGAATCGTTCTTGGTGGTTTAGAAATACGTGTTTTTGACATGTATTAATGATCAACACACTCTTGTACACGGATTCGTCCGTTAACCGTTTGGCGTTCATATTAAGTGAATAAATATTTCATTTTTGTAGGATATACAAGCATTCATCGTTTACGACATTACATATAATGTTGAACCTGATAACTTTTTTTATTTTTTTCAATAAAATCCGGATGTGTATACCACCGAAGGCAATAAACGGATATCGACTTAAATAAATAAACATAGTCCCCTCCGTCAGTTTCTCGCAATGTTACGATTGTTAATTCTTACCTGGGTTGTCTGCCGGAAATTTTGACAAGCGTGTCGATGAAATAGGCGGGTACCATTTGAAAGGCAGTCATGCACAAATAGTTGACGAGACGATTACTTTTGAAGCTGCCACCGGGATACCACAATATGTCACTGAATGGGTTCTCCAATATGAACTCGTGGCCCAACCGTTCGATATCTTTCCAGTAGATCGGGTTCGTCGTGCCTGATGTGCAGTGGTAGATGTTTATACCCGTTGGCCTAGCGATAGCAAAACACGGTTTATGTACATGTTTATGCATGAAAATATTCGCATTATTTACACATTGCTACATTATATATTGTCCGGTTCAGATATTTTGGACGAAAAAATTCATACGATTCTTCAGAGGCGTCAGAACTACAACGGGACAACAGGAGCGCGGCTGCGATCTTCGAAATAGTCATATTAAGCAATCGAGCTAAGAGCTTAATAAATTAAGTTGTTCGAATGCATGGAAATAAACTATGATACGAACATAATCATCAATATTTCGCATTATAAATGATTAAAATCTTACTTTGGAAAAGAAATAATGAAAATAAAATAAAAATATCTATGTACTTCAATATTTTCAAATATTTTAGAAATATGTATAATCGTTTATGTGATTATACTAGACATATTTTTATTTTTGGTTACAAATATTGTATTGTAAATTATTATCGTAATGTCATTAAAAAAATATGTCTGCCTTTATTCATTCTAACGCCGTTGTTTGTACGCTATAAAAACTATTTTATTTAACAATGTAGACATAAATGATCAAGGGAAGAATACGTTTACTAAAAACTAAAAACAAATATTATAGATAAAAATATTTTATTTTATGTAGATTATTAGTAAACATTATCCAATAGTTGGTGTGCTAGAAGAAGAGTAATGATGAACACAAAAAAATTTGGCCATTCCGTGATATTAAGAAGTTAATTTCTATCGTGATATTTATCTAATAGTACCTTTTACATAAGTGATATATTTTATTAAAAAAAAAAATATATAAAATACCTAATTTATATAGTGTATTAGTAGTGATATTTGTAAAATCGTCATATTAACAAGAAACAGAAAAAATTCGAATTAATAAAAATGTATTGTTTTCTATTGTACCAATAATTTAATAAAATTGTATTTATACACGTGAGTGGTGTTTAAAAACAATGTTTTGAAATAATTTTAAAATAGCAAAACTTATACAATGATACAACGCAGAGCGAAAAAATTTAAACATTTTCCATTTAATTTTTTTATATCTGTATCAAAGTACCGTACTAAAAAAAATATCATATAGCATATAATTATAAAAATTGAGATGTCGAGAGTAATTTAGTTGGTCTACTAACTAGTCGTTTCAGGTCAAATATTATGAATAGAAAACATATCAATAATAATTTATTGTAGTATTTATTTGATATTATGCAGATTTTTTCTGAAATTTGTCCGGTTGATATATAATATAGAAAACTAGTATTTTTTTTATCTAAAATCAAAGTTTACATAAAATATTAATTCACGAAGATATTTTATATTGCTTAGCTAATAATTTAACAATTGTCGCAGGTTCTCAGATAGTGACAATACTAATTCGTAGTAGAGGACAGTCACAAATACAGTATCATTGAGTACACAGCGAATGTATCTTTATCAATGATTTGTTATTTTATGTTCTAATCAAGACTTGAACAATCAAGTTTAAATCTGTAAAAAATCAGTTGGATAATATCTTGGTCTTAAAAACGTATTTAAAAAAAGTGATTATAAGTACAAACTTAAATATTGGAGTGTTACGAGTTTCCTTCACATTTGACGTATTAAAATCATTATATTCGAATACGAATAACATTATACAAATTAAATATCGTCGCGATTACGGTCATAGCGCATTTATTGTTTAAAAAATACGCCCAGAAGTCGTATCAATAGATTTAAACTGCTTTATTATTGGTGCAGCAAATAAGTACATATTATTACGCGAACGGAATTTACATCATAAAATAAATTGTATTTCTTTCCGAGGCTCAAAAGAAATCTACCACAATACAACTGTAAATCGTACGTTACAGTAGGATCGCATTAATACTTATCTAAATTGATATTGCGTTTATAGTAAATTGGTAATGCTATGAAATCTGTATACTTCAGGATTAGACGACGGAAGATTGTTACGAGTACAAACGCTGTTCTGAAAATCCATTATCTAGCTCAAAATCATGCAAACGTCGTGGGTATTTACTTTAAATGAAGTATATTTTGAATTTCATATTTTAGAAAACTAAAAAGGTTGATGTTATAGTAAAAAATGTTACCTATTGATGGCCGTGTACCATGCAGCCGATATTAATAGGTTGATACAAATATCTACTGGGACCAGGTCAGCGATCAAGTTCTTGTGACACAGCAGTGTCCTTAGAACCCCTTTGCCTGCGCCGGCCAACAGACCCGTCGGTCCATTTAAATTGTCTACCCAGCCTAATATTGGTTCTCTCCACGATGCTGTAACTGTGTTCGTATAAAAACAAAAACAAAACAAGCGATAAGTAGATAAGAGAAATAAAAAACAATAATAAGTAATTAAGTGAGACACGTGATTTAAAGTAAGTGATATATTAATTAATAATACATTCTCTCGTGTGAATATTTTAGTATAGTCGTATGTAACACAATTATACATAAGTCAAAAAACAAGTTAAAACTTACCTATTGAAGGTCTGACTATAACTATGGGCAAACCGTCTCCTTGCTGTAGCAACATTTTTTCTGCTAACGCTTTTGTAAACGTATATGTGTTTGGCCATCCTTTTATAAGTCTAGAAAAACAAATCAATATTTCACTTAATTTGTATACTGCATATTGTAGATGTTTTACACTCGGATTATAATAATCATTGAACCATTCTACGTTCTCACAATAATTTTGAAATTTCAGAAATAATCTTATTTACACATTTTACTATTTTTTTTTTTTTTTTTTTTTTTATAATGTAAGTATACTTTAAAATCATTAATATAATTTTATCGATTTCGAAAATAAATTTCTACATTGAGTGCATTAATAAATTTCATTTATTTTCTTTGCTTAATTGTTTAAATAAATTGAGTGGTAAATCAAGGTAATTATCACCAATTAGAAAAAACATTGGTCATTATAGTGATGTAACCACGTACATAAGAGTCAAAACATGACTTTACAATGGTATTTTTATAACATTTCAAATACATTTTTTCTTTCAAAACATGTTTCCATCACATATTTATTTTATACTGTTAATTACATTACTAACCATTAGAGATAAAGGTTTGATTAAAATACCCACCAAAACTCTATCAAATTTACGAATATGTTTTCACATACCGCTCGGGAGTGTACACACTATACCTATGATTTTTCAAAAAAAAACCTGAGAGTACACAGAGTACATTATACTATTATAATATACCTTATGAGAAAGCTCAACTGATTACACACTCTAGAATATATCGAGTTATAGTTTTTAATTTGATTTATATGATAATCATTAGTTACAATTATTATGAAGTTTATACATAAGCGTTGAAAAATAAGTTAGTACTTCGAAGCCATTAATCGTGACGAAAATGTTAATCGAATAACCATGTAATTTATTTTTGAAACGGATTTTTATTCAGAAATTCAAATCAAATCATTAAATTAATTTATGATATATGAATTGATTTAATATGACCAGGAACCAACAAATGTACTTAAATATAATTATTAACCCCATCAAAAACAGTCCCATGGGGCTTTATCCAATGGTTTAAACGAGCTTTGCCTGGATTTTTAAAGGGAAACAAACCTATATACAGTCATGTGCAACTGATACATGCCTTAATACATCCATACATACGCGTATGCAATAAATCTACATTCATATTATAATATATTATACATAAAAAAAATTATTAATGAAGATTCACAGATTGAACGGATTTAATTGAAACTAAAAATATATTTCCGGTCTAGTTTCTACATAATGAAAATCACAATCTATTTATGATTCAAATAACTTCCGTTTCGAAAAAATATGATTTTATATTTATTTATAATCGATGGCTATTATTAACATTAACTGTATTATAATATTATTGTACATACATAAGTTTTATTCATATATAATTTTCGTTTAATTTATACACACGTATTCTGTACATTAAAATTAATAATATCATTAGAAATTCATTTTTATTTTTAAAAAATTACAATTTTATTTGAAACTCATCTACTATTAATTCGTAAGATTATTTATTACTTTTTTTTGTGTGAAAGTTATTTGAAATAGAGCTTCGTGAGTATAATGTTATTATAGTTGTTTCTCTAAAAAAAAATAAATGTTTTTCCGCCTACTACCTATTAATAATTTATCTTAATAAACCAGAATTAAGAAATATACCGATAAATGTTCACATTAAAATATAGAGAATTCATTTTACCTCGGTTTGTTAAATATGATCGGTACCAAGAGTATTTTAGAAATATAATTTTAACTGTCATAAAAATTGATTGAATTACTTGAAAAAACTATTCATTTAAACGTTTAATTGTAATTCAATCATTTTTACTTGATCCTGATACTTGATAGTTTAATATTTTGGGTGTATAATTTAGAATATTGAGTTAATAAATTACGCGTATTTCATATATCAAATAAAATCGTAAGAGCTTTTTAACGGTTTCAAAGTTGTATACTTAGATGTTAGGTGTAGAAAATTGTCGTGCCACTGAATTGGGGTGAACGTTAAGTTTCATCATGATTGTATTATACAATATAACAAGATTTCTCAAAATTTGTATTATACTATTATAATATTTCATAGTTCACGACATACTGCCAAAAAATAAAGTAAAGATCAAACAAAAATCGTCTTCACGTATATCATAGTAGATCGTATAATATACTGTGTATTAATATATTATTTAATTTAGGAAAAATTTAACCGAAATTCTTAAATTCATAAATTTTAAATAAAACAACTCATTATACATATGAGTTTATATTTTATGTAATTAAATGTACTTTGTGATATACTTGGAATTATCTGTAACACGTCTGTATATCGCAACACAGCAGATGAGAAACACTGCTAATTAGGTATATATTATATTTTTAGTTGAAGTTGATTTAACTGATATATAGTTATGAATAGTGATACGAATATACGTATTGTGTGGCCTATTTCTGATAGTATAATATTATGTACCAATATATTTTAGTATCATATATTTGATTTAAACTAAGTAATAGTAATATTTTATTAGTATTTGTAGTAACTAATTGATTTAAAAGCCCAATCGTCCTACAAATTAAATCAAAAAGATATACAGCTGACTAATGACTAATTGAATCAAACGTATAATAGGTTTATATGTTCGGTTAGTTGTCACTGAACTTCTATATTAAATTTACATTCATCACTCCCAGCAAAGATGATGATTTAACATTGATTTAACAATATCGAGGTTTTCTACAGAAAACACTCAAGTAAGTAGTAGAAATTCGTCAAAATTTCCATGTAATTTATGGTAGGCACATTGATAAAAAAAAATTAGTTGATTTTATTTATACTTCCGAAAGTTCAACTTAAACACAATATAGAAAAAAAAAATTACTCTTACTAAAATATATTGAAAGATATAAAAGTTATAAATAGTTTATTTGGTTAAATATATATTTTATTTATTTTATCACGAACAATTGATTAATAAAATAGCTAGCGACTATTTCATTAAATAAATATTCATTATCAACATTGGTGTTGTGGCGGGATTATTTGCAAGCAGCAAACGTGTATTATTGGTACTCACCTATCCTTAAAGCTGATAATGTCTCTCTATTTATATTTCATAGAATGCCTTCATTTCTACAAGTAAGTAATAACTGGACAACTGCTACCTGACCTAGTTTACTATACTTAAAAATAATTTGTAGTACAAAAAAAATACAGGAATGTTGCGTAACAAATATTCATACTAGGGGGTACCCGTCACCCTTTTTATATTTATCACGGACATTTGCCCGTTTTGAGCCTATATTCGTCACGTCACTGATTATAATACACTTTTTACTGTTTTATAACTAATATCCTAAAAATAAAAATATTCAAATTATTTTTATAATAGTAATTTTGTTTTATTTACACATAAAAAAAAAATCGTTAAATATTTGTTTAGGACTTATACATTATCAACTGTATTATTAGAATGTAAACTGATTATTATGTGTGCATAAATTATTGAGTTTTTTAAAAATAAAACTATTTTATAAAACAACTTAAAACTGTTAAAAACTGTGAAATAACTTTGATTTAAAATAATTCTATTTTATTTAAGATTAGTAGGTAAATTATTGAAACTGAGTCGAATACATAAAGTTCAATAAAAGAATGTTCAATTTACTATAGTGCTTAACAATCTGAAATAGGTACAATAATAAGGTCCAATTTACAGAAATGTCAATATAGTAACGATCGACATATAATACGGGTAAAATGCGTAGAGCTGTCAATCCCCTAACAAAATGTTCAATTAGATGTTCAGTATAGATGTGAAATAACTATAATAATTAGTGTATTGTTTATTTAAACAACTGGTGTTTCATTTTTAATATATAAGTTCTAAAAATAACAATCGGTGAAATGTTCAAGTATTCTTTTTAATCGCAATACTATTTTGAATTTGATATTAGTTCACATTGTGCTTTTGAATATACAATATATGTATTGGAGGTGGACCGTTAACCTTGGGATATACACTCTTTCTATTCTGAAAATGTGTTAATGAGAATAAAAACTGCAAGGCAATGGTGATTCACCATTATGGTAACTCACAACTTGTAATGGGAATGAGTTTACTTAATTTTGTCCGAAGACAATCAGATTTTCAGTGTAAATGGACAAAAACCTATGAAATTATTTTAATATTAATCGATTCGTCGGGGATTTTTCAATTTAAGTTATCTTAGTGGAGAATATACATAATCGGTGTAGTATGTGATGTGTGTAACATTTATAATTATAAGATTAGAAATTTTATCAAAATATAATTAAATTGCTTATAGAATACATTAAATATAATCTTTTTAACAAAAGACACTAATTTTCGATCTTAATTCTAGAAATCATAATATTAATAATTAATATTCGGAAATTAATTTACTTAAATACCTAATAACCCCAGAAACAATAAAAGGATGTGTAATAAACATTGTTATATTTAAAATGTACTTATTATTATGTATCAAAAACTACATGAATATCCCTTTTAAATATTCAGCACTCAAATAGTTTAAATTCCAATGAAATTTATTGATCGGTTAAAAGAAAAACCTATGCATATTTCTGGTTTAATTATATATATTTATGGTCGTGTACCTACATAAATCATGTTGAACCATACATATTTATTTTGTTTATATAGTAAATAATAGTGACTGACTTACTGTGGTGTAATAGATTCCAGTAAATTTTCATCTAGACTGTCGACGCATTGAATAATTTTTTCTGGGTCCGCAGGGATTGGGTATAAATGTTCTTCGACATCTTGTCGATTACAATTGCAGTAGGCAGTGGAAACGTGTACGAATGCCTGAAATATTAATTATAATTTATAATATATCAATATGATAATTATGTAAATTACAATAAACGGGTAGTTCACGATTTTTACCAAGGGGACTTTCATAAATATTAATGTATGCTGGTGTTTGACATAAATATTATAAATGAATAATAGATTATCTTATAATAACTTACAAATTAATTTCAATACATGTCCTATACTTATTTAATACGTAAGAATTATACTTAAAAGTTCATACTGCATTATCAATTTTAATAAACCGATATATAATATTATCAATTTTTATAATTATTTTAATAATTTTTATTTTTCAATTTTAATATGATTTTATTCGATTAATTTTATTTTTGGAATAAATTTATTCTTAATCAATTATTCTTAATCAATCTTTATCTACTTATTTCATGATCTATATAATTTATATGTATGGGTATCGCAGAAATTACAATACGTATCTCCACAATCTTAGAGGTTTTCTAAATGTATTAGTATTTCTTCAAATACAATACCATACACTTAGTATTTATTTAATATTTAGTTACGATAGTTTAAAAGAAAAATACGAAACATTTATTCAAACCAATACTATATTCGTACTGACGAATATTTTTAAATAACATGGACTATATATATATACATTTTTAGTTTTTAAGTTTTTTTTTGTATGTTTATTTGGTTAAGAAACATAGTTTTTAAGAGATTAATAAGTAAAAGAATCTTTATATTTGTATATTTTTATTTTAGTTAAGAACCAATATGTTAACATTTTAAAGTTCAAACTTAAAATGTAAATATTTTAATATCTCAAATGGATCTAATACCAATTCAATGTTTGTATTACGTGTGTGCGTGTGCGTGTGCGTGTGCGTGTTTTAATTTATAACAATAAATAATGTAATAGTAACTAGTAATACAATAATAAAATTCAATGACATGCAAGTTATACATTATTCAATTTGAAATTTGAAAAAAATATGAAAAATGAAATATGTTAGAACTAAATTACTAAAATTAAATTATAACTTTTATTATTTATGTATTTATTTTTCATCGTAAATATTAAAAAAAAAAAAATTACAAATAAAAATGTTTTTGTAATAAAATAAATATTAAATAATATAAAATTACTTTATTTTTATGTTTTTATATTATTAGTATAGACATTGTATGAAACATGTTACATTTTATGTATTTGACTTACCCAACAATGTTTACTTTTGGACATTTATATTTAATAAACGATAACCATGACATTTATGAATTGAGATAGTTTATAGCTTAATATAAAACGACGTCTGTAATAAGAGTTTTAATTAAAATATATTTTTCAAGAAATTTTAAATGTTTATTATTTATTATTATTTTATCCAAGTTAGCGATAAAAAATATGTGCAATTTTACTTGTAATTTTTAAGAATATTATAGTTTATTCACTAAATGTGTTTTGTATTAAGTATGGTTTCTATTTTGTTATAATATTATTTTTAATTCCGATCAGTATAAATATTATTTTTATTAATCAAATAAATAGTTCATTCCATGAGCTTTAAAATAGGTAAACATGTATAAAACGCATTGTTTTATTTGGCAAAATAAATACTATTACGGATCATCATAAGCATTCAAAGAAAATATGATAATAACAAAACGGTTTTTTTTTTTTTATTGTAATGGTAATTTGATAAATTTGTATAAATTATTCATGGAACTTCTAAAAAGTTCTAATAGGGACTTAGAGTAGCGTAGAGTAGCGGTGCGCAACCTGGAGAGGTCCCCAATAATTTAAGGGCGATCGGTAATTGGGCCACATTTTATGTACCTGCTTCGTATAAAATATTTGTTTACATTTTACTACTCGGAGATTGGGCCATAAATGAACAGCATAAAAATATACGAATATACAACGTTTATTAACTAATAATTATTTTTATAATGCATAAAATACAATAATTTTTTTTAATAATGCCATACGCAAAATTCACAAATTTAATATAATACAATATAATATAATATAATAATATAATAATTTATAATATAAAAAATATCGCCAACGAATTTTGCCACATTGACTCCGTGAGCAAAAGACAATTTATAATTATAAAAATTAATAATTTTTTCCTGTATCCATCGTTATAAATTCAAATAATTCCATTTTACTCGTATATTACCGAATCAGCATTATTTTAAATGTAAATCGTATAGTGTGCAGTCAACTAAACGATGGCGACGTTCTATAATCCTTGTAAATAACACTTTTAGCTATTTTTATCCATTTAATTTTATGAGACTATGGCAGCCCCTGATAATTCTATATCATTTCATTACATTTTGATAAAACATACGGTCACTTCAATTAAAGTTTTGTGTGCACTGTTAGGTATTGTAGCAATATTTATTAAATAGTGGCCCAATCATCGGGTCTACCTGTTATAAATGTTAAACTGTAGTGGCCCAATTTCCGAGCGCCCTAATTCAACACCAAATGAAAAAGTTATTAAAGTTATTTAATATATATTTATATATAATGTATATGTTTTTGTATTTTACATCTATAAAACTGCAATATTGAATTTATTTATGTTTTGGATAATGGAAATAATATATATTATATAATATAACTTTAATGGAAATTAAAGAAATATTAAAATTGTCTAAAATTTACGATTTTATTTATATGAATGAAATGTTTTTACATATTAAGTAAGTATATATTATATACTTTTATACACTTACATAATGTTAGTAAGAAGGGGGGGGGGGTCACATAATCAAAATAAATTAATTTGAGGGTTGTGTATCAAAAAAGTTGCGCACCGCTGGGCGTAGACTATAGTTCGAGAACCGCTGCCTTTTTTTTATAAGTAATAAAGTTCATGTAGTTTAAAATACAGTTTTGACAGTAATCGAATATTTGACTTTCTTGGGCTTCTGAAGCAATTTTTTTACTTTTACCAAAACGTTCACTTCTTCATTCTAATATTGCATATTTTTAAAAGAAAATCAAATTATATATTAATGTAACTTTTACCTTCAAAATGTATCTTAAAAGTATAAATTCTGTGAGATTAGTACTGAAGTTGTAATTGTCCTTATTATGTATTTTTATGTACTATTCTTAATATGTACTTCAAAAGTAGGAATTCCTACATAATACTTATATATTTTATGCTTGTACAGCAATTATCAAAATTTTTCTATTAACTTGTTTTTATTACATTTCGGATTATTTTGGAAAAGTGCTGTCACATATTCACTGAGCATCAAATACTTTGAAATGTAAAACGTAATAACAGCAAAAAGTTTACAAAAGCTAGTAGAGAAGTTAAATTTCATGAAAAGGTATATGTAATTTAAATTTTAAATTAACAATTTAATAGATTATCATATTTTCAAAATAATATTATTAATAAAAATGTATTTAAAAAATATTTGTTTTAAGGTATAAAACGCGAAGGAAAACATAGGGATCCTCATTTTTATTTTTATAATTTATTATTACTTTAGTGCGATGGAAAATAACTGTATTACTAGATAAAAAAATTGATTTTACCATGAGCTATGGGTATAAATAAAATATTAAAATATAACTTAATATTTTAGATTTTGACCAATGTAAGTCTTAAAATTTTCTTTTTCTTTTCTATATACACTTTTTAATGTAGTAAATATAAAAATGCACACAAAGTTTCGTATAATAATTTTTTTTGTAGACTTTGTACTTGAAAAAATTTAATTATAGACTATTTAGGTTGTTTATCTCAGTGTAAGAAAAAGTGAAAGAAAACTTTTTAATTGACAAATGTTATAAAGAATCGATTCGATATGAGTTTTTGTGATGTAATTCAAAATTGTAATTTAGAAATCCTAGAGACTAAAAATAAAGTATTTATTATATAACCATTTAGTTATTTTTGAAATACTTTGTGTTAAATAGTCCGTTCTAATGACTCACTTGATTCCGGTATTTTGCCAAAAAACTAATGTACCTTAATAATATTTTATCAAACTATTTAAGAAAAAAAAAACATACTTATTAAATATTCTATTACTAAACATACTAATTTTTTATGATACAACAAACAGGTAATAAATGGTGAAAAAACCCGATTACGTAGTACTATATCGTAAAAAAATAATTTAATAATTTATAACATAAAGTATTATTAAAAATATGAATTATAATACTTCCATGGTAGATGGATAATCCGTAGTTAATTGGTCGAGACCTTTCGATATCCATAACCACTTTCATACTATTGTATGAATTCACACCTCCTCGTCATTATAATATTAAAGTAATAATTAAGTATATAAGTAATATATTAAGTATGTATAATAATTTTACTGATCATTAATTAATCAACATTTCATTAAATGTTATTGAAATTAAAAAAAATTTATTTATTTGTAAGAAAAAATTCTTATTAAAATTAAGTGTAGTTATAAATAACACATTAACTTTTTTTAAATATAAAATTTTAAATTTATTGCTATTAAGTATAAACTAATAAGATCCACTGTTTAGTTTTTTAGTGCATGGTGGCAATTGTAATAAAAATTGTATGCATAAATAACGTAATTACTCAATAATACCCGGTAAAATATAAATAATCGGAAATAACGTTTTCGTATTTTATGGTTTTTAAAAATGTTCACGCCTCCCTAAAGGTTAGAAATTTACAATCAGTTTACATGATATATTCTTACTGGAAGTTTGTCAACTTCATGAATCGATTTTGATCTAATAATCTAATATTTCTATTAAAATCAAGCTACATTAAAAGATATGATGCTTCAGATAAGTAACTAACTGTATTTTATTAATAGCTTGCAATAGACCTCTATTATTATCTCCCACGAACACAACACATTTAGTTAAATAATAATTAAAACTATTCATTCGTATGTTAACAAGTATAATATTTCGAATACTATATTTCGGTAATGTTTAAAATAATAATTTCAATAAAAATATAATAAATTAAATATCATTTCTGTCATGTATTAATAATACATAATATATTAACATATATTTTATATATTTTTCAAACATATGCCTGTTTGGTTATTATAATAACACAACAGACAATAAACACAAAATAAGGTAACACTTATTACAGTATAATAATATTAATATTATTTTCTCCTTAAAAATTGAAATCTTTTATTTAAATGAGTTTGTGTTAAATCATTAAATTTAATTTATCATACTTTTTTCTTTTTATTTAAATTTATAGAATATATTATATGTAAGAGCCGAGACAGTTTCTGTACGTGATTATATGATTATAATATAAAGGAGTCTGCGATGGTACTTCAAATTAAAATAAAACGATTATTTTTAACATTTTTTTTTTTTTTTTTTTTGAGATAGACTGAATGGTTTGAGGGTAGTTATTTTATTGAATCCAGTAAGTAAATTATCATCTCTAAAATATATAACATACTCTCAAATAAAATAAAAAAAATGAATAAAAAGAATATTTAAAAAATAAAAAATTCACAAACTTATTATAAATGTAGTTAGTATATTCATTTAATTTAATTTTGAAAACTATGTTTCTTTTTCTACCTTATTGATAATTTATACTCCTTAATTTGAAGCTTGGGGTATTTATACATAGATTTAACATGATAATATCGTATTTTAAGATTGAAGTTTAGTTATGTAGTTAATTTTCTCAGACTGTACTATATCGATATTACAAATTTGAATTTCTCATAAACACTGAAGTTAATTCGCTATTAATTTGAAAGTTAACGTTCAACGAACATAATATAGTTACTGCGTGCTTATAAATGTACATAATTTTATAATAACATGTATTCGTGTAAAAAATCGGAAGAATTTTTTTTGCTTATAAAAAATATTATAAATCATTTTTGAAAATATAATATTTTATTTTTAATACATAATAATATGGTATCTAATGGACGATTATTAATTTTTATTTTTTCAAATGTAACTTAATATATATTATTTCAATCAACTTTTAAAAGAGATGACGGCTAAAAATGTCTTTTTTATGAAAACAAATTAAAGTTTATTCGAGTAATATCAATTCAAACAATTCTGACTTCTTTCTAATAAATCATTTATACCTATACAATATACATATCTAACTGTCATAACCATTTAAAGACATTCTACGTTGTGCATCCATTAACTAAATAGTATTTGTACATATAACTTATATAACATTTACATAACCATATTCAAATTAAGTAAACTTATTCTTAAATAAATTTATAGATCCCAATATTTTTGTCTTTTTTATTGAGAATTTATACTCCGTCAAAACATACGGTTTTTGAAATAATTCTATATTATTATATCAACTTGATGAATTTAATATTCGCCTTTAACAAAAACTTTTGTTAAGAATCATAATATTGGTCCATATAATAGAAAAAACGATACTAAAATATTGTAAAAAAATCTTTTGTCTGTAGCACTATACTGTCTTTTTTTAATTACTTAAAAATTATGATTAAATTTAGCATTTTCTTAAGATTATATTTCTAATGCAACAATATATTTTTTTAGCTTTTAAGTTTTTAGTAACTTTATACAAAACTCTCATACAAATAAGAGGTCCAATTTGTTGTTAGTTAATATTTAATTTTAATTTCAACGTAAAAGAATGTTAGAAAATATAAATTGTGTTACTAAATGAAATTTTTGTTTAATGTACATTGTATTAATGAATCATTTTGTATAATTAACAAGATTTAAAAAGTTTATTGCCAATATTCGAAAATCCATACATAATAATAATAATATAATTTATATATAATCTACATTAAATATATGTCATTCTATATAACTATTAAAAATGTAATACTTAGTTCAGTTAGTTTTTTTTTAAAAATTTCAGAGATTCAATTACAATGATATTAATTAATTATTACACTCACTTTTTTACAGAAAAACATGACAAAAAAGTTAGTACTTCAAGATATTAATATTAATTCCAAATTAAGCTTTTTATCTATTTATGTTACCTCAAATATCAAAGCATAGCATAAATAAAGAGTAATAGAGAGTAAATTGAACATTTTTAAAACCATAACATAAAAAATAAAAACTCAATTAGATCTAAAAAATGTTTCTACATATTTATTTATGTATTCGTTCCTTGTTTAAACTAACTCTATAACCAAAATATATACATGAATACAATTAGAATGTGGTTATTTTTTTACGATATTAAATTTAAAAGTGTTCAAATTTTTATATATTTTTAGTATTTAATTTATTCTAATCTAAATAAATTTATTTGAAGAAGAATAAAACAATTTTATAATAATTAAAATAAAGCTTTTCAAATAATTATTACAAAAAATTTTTATTTAAAATTAACATCATGAATTTTTTGTTTCTTGAAATTAACACATATCATTAATAATCCTGTATTAATTAATACAATTTTCTATTTAAAACTGTAAGATCAGAATAGCGAAACCACTTTTAAAATCTATAAAATAAATAAATAATTAAATTTGAAGTAGGTACATGTGACCATTTAATAAGTACGTTTTAAAATAATTTCAACATAAAAATAAACTTTTTCAGTAAGTTTAACATTAAAATGTAGATTTTTAGTTAAATATATTTTTACCTGTATTCGAAATTGTAAAATAATTGTATAAAAGTATTATTTAAAGTTTAAAATTTCTAAATTACGACGATTTTTATTTTACAAATATGTTATTTACTATGAACTCATTTATAATATCAGCTGCAAATTCAAATCAACAACTTATTTTTACTTTCATATTTGTGTATTACTGCATTGTGTACATAATAGAAACATTATAATAAGAAATATTGAAAAAATTTTATTTTTTATTTTAATAATAACAAATCATATCGAGATCTTTAAAAATGATAATAGTGGCATTGGAATGCATAATTTACCCGCACGGTTTTATAATAATCCCCATTCAACCAACTCACATAAAACGGAAACTGAAATATGAGCAAATATAAGATAACTGATAGTCGTAGAATAATAATAGAATATTTTTAAAAAATGTAGGTACTAAATATCTTACCAAATTCGACTAACCATTTGGTTTTTTAATCAGAAATTCTTACGTTAATATTGGATAACCGCACGTGCTTATAATTTTATGATAAATTGATAAATATATTATTAATATCATATATCAACCTATTAATGTGCTCTTTCTGATTGAAATGCGAAATACCGAATTAAAAAGTATAATATTAACAAATACATAAACGTTGTTAATATTTAATAATGTAAAACATTAGAAACACTTACCTCTAATTTAGTCATATGATAGCTCAGCTGAACTAATCGCTTGGTACCAAGCAAATTCATGGCAACTGAAAGTTTAAGTGCTTCATCGAACTTAACAGTGGCTGCCGAATGAAAAACAATGGATACGTTATCAATTAATGTTTTTTGATCCAGTGCACTGATTCCCAGTTCGCTCTGAGTGACATCTCCTTGTATCGGTACTAATTTTTTTAAAGACTCTGGTTGATATTTCCTAACCCAATCAAATATCTAAATATAAAAAAAAAAAATCGGTTGATAAAATGGATATTTTTTACAGATATATATACTCTTGTGTATGTTTGTTATTATTGCATTACTAATATGGCATTGTATTACTACTGAAAACTTAAAATATTGGTAAATTTTTAAATAAATATTTCATTGAAATCGTAGAAGATATTTTTCAAATATAAATGTTTTTATCGTTGAACTTATTTTTGGTATTTTAATGAAGGTATAATTATACAACCATTCGGTAGCGGGACAAAGATAATAGATAGACGTGCTTGTTTTTTTATTTTTATTGTATGAATAGCGATGATACTACAATAAGTTTATTATATATATTAAACTTCTCAAATTATATTAGAAATCATAATATTCAAATCCGTGTTAAATATTATTCATTCCTTCGACTTAACTATTAATTGGATTGTAGTATTATTTGATTTACGTACGAACAATACATCGTACAATACTGCAAACAGCGAAAGCAAATTAAATAAAGTAGACACACAGGTTGAACAATGCTTACCCTTAATAAGCGCGTAATATGTATACATTTCGAGTAAACTTATAACCGCATTATTTAGCTTATTAAACATATGAAATTAGGCCCGTTAATAGAGTGTTAATTAAAAAAAAAAAAAAATATTAAAAAAATGTAACCAACGAGTGCTGCCAAACACTGACGTGTTGTTTTCAAATTTAGCACGCGTTTAGAGTAAACATAATATTATATATTTCAAGTCGTTAGCTTTTTACGAACGGTACATTATTCAAAACGATGTCTGCAAACAGAATATCGTTATCGATATAAATTACATAAAATACATTCTTTACTCTATGATATAAATTATGTACTACCTATATTCCGCTGGCCAAGAGAGACGTAATTCGGTAATACGGTAATATTAATGAACGCGATACAATTATAATTTATGAATAATAAAATTAAAATTAGTAAATGGTAATAAATACTCGTAAATTAATATATATATAATAAGTTTACGCATAGAAATAAATAAATAAATGCTTACGCTTCGCGTTTTTATGGACTGCATGTATCCGACGACGGTTTTTAATTTGAAACCGGTCGTACATTACTGATACAATAATACTCCAGGCTAAGCATTTATTTATTTGCACGAATAAACTATTTATTTATCAATAATAATTGATCGTAACAAAAACATTGACTGTTCCATTTTACCGTAGCGTTCAGTAGTTGATCTAGTCTGGACTTGACATCGTGACCCTGTTTGGGCCTGATCAGTAGGTATATGCACGCGATGTTTGGACATGAGTGCAGCAGTTTCTCCACCAACACCTTGCCCATAAACCCTGTAGCGCCTGTGATGAGTACGTGACGGCCCCGGAAAAAGTCTGATATCGGACTGGACGTGCTGGCCATTTCGATGCGTTGGCTGTGGCTGGAAAACAGATACAGAAATCGAAGGTATTAATTCAACGTATCCGTCGGTCGGAGGAGGGTGCGGTGGAAAATAGGGGGAGGAAGAGTAAAAGTTATGAATGAGATGCATGTAACTATATTATTAACGTCCGCGGGACGTGGCGGCAAATATTGTAAGCGCGCGAAGTGCACGTGGCGCCTGCGACGCGAAACTTACGCCCTCCGGAGGAGAGTCGACCGCAGGCAGCAGTACTCGTCAACGGTGACGGCAGCGACGGAATGCTGATGACAACGACGACGGCGACGACCGGTTTCAGCAGGACAACCGACGACAGGTGCGGAGAGTGATGATAATGTTATAACGTAGGTGGTTAGGTGGTTAGGTCGATCACGGCGTGTGAGTGTGTGTATGTGTGTGGTCAACAACGGTGATGAGGGAGAGAAGGAAAAAAAAATTAAAAATAAGGGGAGAAAAAAAAATTTGGAGATTTCCGAGGGGACGGTGCGAGAGAACGAGAAAGATTAACAACCGGCTACCGAAGACGGAAAATGTGTCGTGTGCGAACGGGAAAACGCGACGGGAGAAGACGGAGAAACTACCGCAACGGCGTACGTTACAGCAGAGCGCCGGCGACGGGACACGATGCGGCGGCACTCGAAGTACGATATATTATAACGTGTGCTTGCGAGTGTGTGAACGTGCTGAGCGCGTGTGTGTGTGTGTGCATGTGTTTGTGTGTGTGTGGGTGTGGGTATGTGTGTGTGTGTGTGTGTGTGTGTGTGTGTGTGTGTGTGTGCGTGCGCGCGCGTGTACAGCTGAGAGTGGTAGTCGCCGCCGCCGTGGCCGCGCTGCGCGTATGCAAGTGCGTGTCGATGCGCGCGCGCCGCGCCACGTATGTTAGTGTGCGCGCTCACGACCCCATCGCGGCGGCGGCAATGGTAATTCGATAAAGGGGCGGGCTTGTGCGAAACGGCAAGGAGTGGGGCAGCAACCCTGCCGTAACCGCCGCGCGTACACGTACACACGTCGGCGTGCGGGTAAACATCCCCCGGGGGATGGCGGAGGGGTGCGCGGTGATCATGCGACGTTGAGGAGGCGGTGTTGGTGGCGGCGTGTCGATAAATCTGCGGGCGGCCGGATAAAAAGGTCTACGTATAACGAACGGATACGTGTACCGTACGTAGCCTTGTACGTACGAGGACACTTACAGTGACGGCTGTCCTGCTAACCAAACCTAACGCGGTCCGGTTGTCGGTGCGAACGTCCCTCGGTGTACCGCCGCCCCGCATGTGGGCGACGTCAACCGGCACCGGTTCGTCGGCGGTACGGGTCTCGCGCCCGGTCAAACGGACCCGGGACGTAACCGGACTGCCGAGTACTCGGCGCTGTACTAGACGTCGTGCGCGCGCGCGTGCATCCACCGCCGACTCGGCCGTACGGGTATCGCGTCTTCGACCGCGGGCGGCAGGAGGGTTCAAAAGTAAACGAAATAACTTTGTGCGCGTAGCGGTTCGCGAAATCGACCACCCACTGCCCGGTGGTCCACGGAGCCGGTCGTCGCGACCGCTGCCCTGCCGGATCCGCGTCACCGATACGTTTACCACCGCCGTGTAACGAGTACCGCGTAACGAACCGTCGCCGGGCGCGTACGTCGTAACTTTTTGCTGAGCACTGGGTGCGAGATGTACGCGCACGTACGAGTGCAACGCGACCATGTAGAACTATTTCCCGTCCGAATCGTTTTGTTTCAATTAAGTGCCGAGTCCCAAACACGCACACGCGCACACTATATTCGACTCTGTGAAAACAGTGAAATCATCAGACGATCGATTGCCACACGATTCGTTTTACAATTAATTGCAGTGTCTCGAATAATCTTTTTTTATTTTGGTCCAATTCCAGTACGTACTAATAATCCCATTCCAAATATTGTTTTCGGCAATGGTTTTTTTTTTCTACAATTCTTAAATCCAGTCTTGGCATTGCTATTTTGCAATGCATTGTACATAATATTTTTCTGTGTCAAACATTATACACCAAAATAATCAAAATACAATAGAATAAGTATGAAAGTTTTACGTTATTTAAACATGTAAATAAAAATCAGTAGTAGAATAAAGCGATAAAAGTACAAAATATGACGGATGAAAACAATATGTTTCGTTTCAGAAACTGGTATTCGGTATCTATAGGCGTGCGCCGAAATGTTGTTAACGGGGCCCTACAGTTTAAGTCTAAGAGTAAGGGGCTCGTATTTTAAAAAAATGACTTAAGAACTATATCTTCATGCAAAAACTTATCATAATAATGCAACAACTACAATCGACAAATCGTTACATTATATTTATATATTTATAATGTATATAAATTTGTACAAAAGTACAAAACATAAATAATTAAAGCTATCTGGAAAAATTTAGGGGATTCAAGTAAAACATATTCATTGGGACTAATATACTACAATACTAAAAAATTTAAGTTATGTTTATTTTATTATTTATACATTATAATTTATTAAATATACCCACAGATTTTATTGAGATTGGGCCCAAAAGTATTGTTGACAACCCCTGAAATACTGGTCTGTTCACGCCTATGATAGTACTTGTATATGTCTCTTATAACGCACCAGTTACCATCGTCATACTGGAAACATTAATCTGTTTCGGTAAAAGTGACTTCGTAATTTTATTTGAAAATAAGTGAATACGTTTTAATGCAATTATATATAGGTATACCGTATCCGAGGAAAGGAAAAGCAATTCAATTACAGTGCTTGTAACGAGTAATCACTTCTACTAAAATGTACACTCTCTCAATGAATGGTTTTTTTTTTTTTTTATTGAACGTGTTAACCGTTGACGGCAAAAGTATTAAATAAATGTTTTTGAATTTCCTACGTACGTAGTATACTATACTTATATTTATACTTTAGTATTGTAATCCTAAATAACTACGAAAACAATAAAATTATTATTTACAATCGTGGAGAATTACAGCGTGTTTTATCGAAAACATAATATCCTGTTCGATACGGAAACGTTTAAATCTTTTTACCAACAACTGAATTTCATTTATTTTAATACATTACCAGTGATAGATAAGCATTTGACATTTCAGATCTTTTTTGCGGATTTCCAGTATTATTATTTTTTCTAGCTATAAAGAAAATTATTTGAAAAATCTATAAAAATTAAAAAATGTTATAAATTTTTGAATACAGAAATGTAGTAGATTTTCATAATTTTTTTTAATGTTGTCAAAATCTTATATTTAAACGTTCGTAATTTTTCTTTTTAGGCATTATGTTTGATTTTTTTTTTTAATTATTAATATATATATATATGAGAAATATTGAACTTATATAATATTCATGACGTTTTGTCGAACCAAAATTATTCTATAAAAATTTACGGAAGAAAACAAAGAAAATATGGAAATTTAATTTTTCTATAATTAGCTTCAAAAATACTTTTGAAAATTACACTATCAATGAAAAATAGTTATATAAACATTCATTGAAAAAATCACGTTTCTAAGATTATTATTATTTGATTTTTACGAAAACTAGTAAGTTATTAATGCTGTTGTATTTTAAGATTTCTAACAGTTTTTTGCAGTTATTTAAAAAATTGTTTGAAAATTCGTAAAATGAATATTATTCATTCTACCGACTAGAAAATAATTCTTATCGAAAATTCCTATTGATTGTCATGATCGGATACAGTACTAGTTGAAATCGTGTTTACTTATAACAAATATAAGGACATCGCATTACTAACAATTTGAAATAAACATAAATTGAAAATAAATTTATTTTCAAATAAGGTTTTGCATGTCGTTGGGCTTTTTAATCAATATTCTTGTGTTGATGTATATAATTGAAACTTTGCATAAAGGTAGAATATTATAAAACTATCAACTATATCGGTTTTATACTCATCGTATTAACGTGTTTGCCACTTATTATAGTACCTCACTTTCCAGGATCCTTTTATACATAATATTTATATTAACAAAGGAGTGATGGATCTACCTCTAATTGTATGCAAATTGTATTTAAGTTTTTTTTTCAAACGCATACAAATATATACATAAATTCACTTTTTCTTATTATTCTATTTCCCTTGAAATTGAAAAAAGTCTTAGGTATACGTTGAAAGCATTTAATTTCTGTATCCGATAACAAAAATTTATATATAATTTAAATACATTTACCTTGAAAAATGGATGAATTTATTATTAAACTCATGTATTATTGGTTTAAATTTTAGAAAAAGTCCACGTATTAGAGCTCGAAATTAGGGGCTAGTAAAAAAATTCTTCTTTCAAAATATATTGCCAAATGTTAATCTTAGAATTGATTTCTGTATTCCTAAAAAAAATTTTACAGGAAAATTTGAAAAATCAGTATTATAAAAAAAAACTTTCAGTGGTAAGCTAAATAGCTATAATTCTACTCAGACCATAGATTTTTACCCATTACTATCGTGATTATGTATTTATTTAAATACAAAAAAAAAAAAAAACACAAAGTCAAAAATATAAACATATGTAGACAAATTCTAAACAGCATATAAATGATCTAAGCTAAATGTTCTTGATGAAATAAATTATTACATTTTCAGAATAACGCATTTGTATTAATATTATGAGAATTTATAGTAAACAGTACATAACTCTATTATTGTTTAAGGCACAGACGTAGTACTTTGAAATGGTTATTTGTTAAAAAATTCTTTAGAAACTTTTTTGAATATTAGAATAATATTAGAAGCCTGTCTAAGGCTGACAATAAATTTATCTGAAAACAAAAATAAAATATTTAAATTTGACTATAGAAAACTAACCGTAGAATAATGTGAAAATAATTAAAATAAATGTAAATAATATTTAACAATATCCGAACATTACACTCAGAAAAATAACAATTTCTCAACCTTTTATTGCTAACAGAATGTTCTATAACGATATTTTTCTTAAAACAATATAGAAGAAGCTGTACAATTTTATTAACGCTTTTATAATTTACTATGAAATCATTAAAATCTAAATTACCTTCCTAAATTGTACGATACTTACCTATAGCCATGATAGGTTACATAATTAAAGAAATTGTTCAATTAAATTAAAGAAATTAAGTCAATTATTCTCACGAAAATATGAATTTATTATTACTTTCAATGCATTTTTTGTATTAAATTTACATTTTATGTTTTATTTAATTAGTTATCGAGCAATTTAATAAGCTATAATATATAAATAATTAATAATTTTGTCTATTCAATAGGTAATATATATATATTAGGGTGATCATTATTTTTGAACTTACGAGTTTTTGTTTTCTTACCTCCTCGTTTTGTTCATTACTATAAGAAAGTAATTCAATTTAATTTGGTCATGATTACTCAACCCTTTCACGTGCCCCAAGAGCGAAAAAGGGTGGTTTTTTCATTTTTTGACTATATTCAAAAAAATATTGCATTTATCTTAAAAATGTATAAAACATATATTATAGATATATATATTTTTAATAAAAAGCATATTTATACAATTTCTCATAAATCTATTATTTCCTAAGAAAAATGATAAAATATCGAATATTTTATTTATTTAAAAATAAATAATTTTTACAGTTATTTAAATATATTAAAATAAT